CTATATCACGAAATCTATGAATAACCTCGCTATTCGGTGTTACGGCTTTCAGTTTGGACAGATTCCTTGCCATCCATTTTCATCTCAGATATCAGGAACTTGTGACTCAAAGGCGTGTTGTTGCCGCGGCATTGTGGCGTGGATCTTCAGCGAATCGCTTTCATCCCTTGGTCTGTTGATTCCAAGGAATGTCATAAAGCTGGTTTTTGCTGCTAAAAACGTTATTTGCATAGTGCTGACGACAGTGGTCTTCGCTAATCTTCTTGCAGTTTTCGACGCTTTAGTTACCAAGCTCAAATTCCAGTGCAATACTTTGGTTAAATGGTAAATGGGACGGGTCTTAGAAATTCTGCCATGGTTGCCTTGTATATCAGTAATACTTTTCACGATAAATTCATGGACCTTAGTGTTTGTTAATTCTTCTTTAAACCCTATAATTTTCTGCTGGAAGATGAGGCACATTCGACGTGCTATTTTAAACGTTCTGCAAAATGTGCATCAAAGTTGTAGGTCAAGTTGATATCACTGTTACCGAATATCATTTAAGATCTTGGATATTTTGGGTTATGATTTCATTCTATTTGTGTTTGAGGAAACGGAGCCACCATGTCGTTCTTTCAAACACGGTGCAAAACCGTGAACACATTTTGTTTGTTTATAGTGAGTAAAAATAGCTCTGTATTGTATTTCCCCTCAAGATTTCCTTGACAGTTTTATCCCTGATAACTTTTCCGTGTCAATGTAGAAAGAAGATATTAAGCAGTGCATAATTTTTAAAAATGTTTTCTTTATTCGATCTGTTGTTCTAAGAGCTAAACTTTCTGTGGCTTCTGTCCATCTTTCTTTCGTGCACAAACGGACATGCTATATTTTTTTTAAGGATAGTTACAAAGAAATTTGGAAAAAAGAAATTTCGTAGTGAAGATCGACAAGATGTCTCAAGTCAAGTAAACATGGAACGGTTTAGTTCTAAATCAACGAAAATCTACTCCAGAGCTGCTTTCATTTTGTTGACAGGTGTTTCTGATTAGTTTACTCTGTTAATGTACCGCAGATAATTTTCCGCAATGTGTTTGTCATAAAAAACTTGTCAGCGTAAATGTGGCTTAAACAACGTCACCGAAGGTCGCGTTGTCTAATATAAACTAAACTGAACCGATGACATATTAATGCTTTTGACAGCTGCTTATAATCTCTTGTTGAGAATCGATCTTTTTTTTCTTTGAATAAAGGTTGTGTTTTGTACAGTAAATGGTTTGAAGCCGGGGGTAACATGTGGAAGTGTAGTCTGATCGTCCGGGTGAGTGTAGTCCTGAAAAGAACTGTTGTCGGTATTGGTGACCATGAGCAGAAGTCATCACCAGCCTCTGATGATGACTTCCGCTCAGATTGTCGAAACGTCAGTCACTCCAACCGACAACAGTCCTTTTCAGAACTACACTCACCCGGACGATCAGACTACACTATGACATAGTATTTTGTGACTCAAAGATTTGTCGAAGAGAAGAAATCTTTTGTGTCAGAATGAATAACAAATGCATTTGCACTCAAATGGTGCCTTTGATAGACTTTCCACCGTCATCAAGAGCTCGGTCTTCTTTTGTCACGAACGCTGAACAATTTCACGAACTGCAGCTGGTTGTTAGCACTCTCCTTTTAAGGTAGCTAACTGATAACAATACCGTCTTTCGATAAAAAAAATTCAGTCATCTGTTTCATCTCATTTATCACCAGCGAAAATTGACCACAATTTCTTGCGACTGACGTTTCTATTGACTGACAATTTCTAGTGACTGACAATTTCTAGTGACTGACAAGACCATGAATTTTTTTCTAAAGTATTGATAATTTTATGCCTAGCACGTTTCAATGAAATTTTTGTTTTTCACCTCAGTGCACTGGGCACGTCTCTGAATTTCTGTGAATGGAGACGAACGTAAAAGCAAGCCAGCTAAAACAGCGGTTGTATACCGAAAGGCGGCAAAAGCATCATCTTTCCCTGGCGCCATTTTCTTATCGTCCTCAATAATCACGAATGTGGCACTGACATCCTTCTTTTCAGCTAGGAAAAGCCACTCTAAGCTTTTTAACGGCAGTTCTTCGCTTTTCGTCCTCTCAAGCCTGTTTTGCTTGTACGCAGTAACCATAGCCACTTGGAAATATTTTGGACAACCGATTTAATCTTCTCAGCATACTATTTGGGGTAGCATTTGTACGTGTAACTGGGTTTAACCAGAAAAATAGGAAACGTCCAGTCTTCTCAAAAGATACAGAGACATTTTCCATTTGCCTCCGTTACACTATAATTATCACATGTATATACTTCTGCCTAGTAATAAATTTTTAGTATATGTCGAGTTATATTTACATTTCTTTAGATATTTCAAAACAAGCCGTACTCCTTTATAAAGAAAATATGAGGTTCATCTAAATTAAACTTTAAGATTCAGCACGAAGAAGAACACACTAAAGAATTACCACGTATAGGGCTCACCTAGATGAATAAATAAATAAATTACTGTAGAGAAAAACTATTTCAATGCGAATATTGATGAAAACTTGTTTTACCATGTAAATTGAACACGGCCCGTTAAGATGTTCTCGACTCTTGAAAGCATTCACTTTCGAACATTTTCTTGGCTGTGAAACGTAACGCAGTCATGTGTATTCTTATCAAGTAGCTAAACAAGTTGGTATGTAAGAATTATAGCATGCTTCTCTAGATAGCGATGCTGTTTGGTATTTTCTCCGGAAGCAAATAAGTATAAGGAAACTTTAACTTCTCATTCCTTTTCTTTATTGACGCCGAAATTCTCTGAAGTTTTCCTTGGAAGCGCAAGATGGCCTCTCTGGCAGCCATGTCAGTGAAGGAGCTATCAGGGTAATCACCAAGGAAACGCTTGGAGGTAAGAAAAGAATATCTACAATCAGCGTCAAAATTGGTTGACACATCATGTTTGAATGTTTGAAGGGAAATACCAGGATTTGTTAAAGAATATCAAGGTTATAACTTACCTCATCGGGAGAAATTCGAGTCAGATCGTTCACCGTCGCTATAGCAACTCCTGCCTGGTGCTTGGTGGGAAGAGTCTTCATTATGTCTTTCATGGTCACTGTGCCCTTTTCCTTTGGAGGCGGCTGTCTCATGAGGCCTGGCGAATTTGGCGGGAAACCGAGCACGTCCATCTGCGAGAAGTTTACAGCTGCATGTTGACAAGAGCAAGTAAAGATAACAATAGTTAGTATGTGAGCCAGCTGCTCAGCGCTTGCAATAGACGATGGGAAGCCATGGTCCGTCTCTCCTTCGCGGACAGTGTAGCCATTGTCATGAATGTCGAGGATCCACGCCTGGAGTTCTGTATCCTGGCAGAGAGAAAAGTCACCGTTGAGTAATGATAAATTCTTGAATATGCATTTCGCGATTTCCTGGTTTTCCAGATAAAACACTTCTCACCTTTTGAATAACCTCATCTAATGGGTAATAGATGGATACAATCCTTGTGACGAAATTCTTGATGGCCTGCCATAGTCGCAAGGCATCATCACGATAGTGGAACCCAGGTAGTTTGTCTGGATCGTCCACTCCTCTCTCCTTTAAGACATTTGGCAGGTCATACGACGACCACTTCATGTTCTTGTAGTACTTTTTCATGAGATCAATATGACCTACAATGGACATTAAACTGAGCGTTATGAAAACGAAGTAACCTTTTGGTATCCTCTGAAATCATCACAAACTTTTTCGTACAAGTTGCTGCATGAACGGATGAAGAGATCTGGTTTACAAATATACATTGCCGAATAAAAATCTTCCAATGATAACGAAACAAAAAACAATGTTAAAAGCTTTAAATATTGGACAGCTCATCCGAAATGTAACATGAATGGTAAAGTAAAGGACTCTTAAAAGCCGTCTTAACAAAGGTTTCGTCAAAAAGGTGTGCGATACGTTGAATTTTTGGGGCGTAAATATTCATTCAGGAAGTTAGGAGTTCTGGCAATATCCACAGACGGAGCTCCCTTACCTCCACCTCCTATACTAAGAGTTTGATCCACTACACCTCCAGCTGCAATGAGCCTAGCTCTCCCAAGGGTATTGATGGCCATAACTCCCTTCAAATGAGGGACCAATAGTTTCCACAGTGGGTGAAGAGAGGGAAGTTGTCTCCAGCTGGCGAGAGCGAGTGGCTCCATGAAGAAATGAGTGCGAAGAAGATGCGCAATCGTCTAAAGAGAACGTAAAGGAAGGGGTGTTGGGCAAAATCAATTGGCAGGGGAAGGGAGGGGATAGTAACAGAAATCCTTACCATCTTTAGTGTTAAAAATCGTAAGTATGGTATTTACAATCATCATCATCATCCTAACAGATCGCTGGAATAGTTTATATCTGTGCATTAAGAGACGCAACGCTAACCAAATAGAATCTATGCGGAGAGGTAATGTATCCACCTATTCTGGATTTCTATAGTTGAGATCCTTAACTTGAAAACTTACTTGATGCCACTGCATGTCAGCATTACGCAGCCACATCTTGGCGTAGGTCCAGTCCAATTCAGAGTCATTAGGGGTCCATAATGGGTTGGTCACGTCAGGTCCCTGGTGAAGCTGAATTGCGATGGGAACCATATCTCCAGTGCCCTTGACATAGAACAAACCCATCGCCGCACACGTATAGCGCGTCTCTAAGTTTTCATCTAAGAATCCATAAGATAGGATGCCATCAAGAATGCTGAAGTCGACCATATAAACACGCCCGTCCTTATTGAAAATAATTTAAAAATGAATAATTAGGAAGAAAACAACAGAGCTTTGCACGAGCTATGAACATGAAAAGGTTATATTCGATCAAATAGCCTGTAATAATAATAACAATAATAATTGACCACTCCCCAAATGGGACTTTCAGGGCCAATACAAAAAAATTGTAAATAAACACAGGGTTAAAAAATTCCAACTGGCGGGAGACAGACCAGTTGGCTATAGACAAGGCGTAGCCACGAAGTTGAGCTCAGGCAACCTAAAACAAATCCGGTGGGTAACAGGGTGAAGGGCATCAAACCGGGACCACCAGGTTACTAGCCCAGCGCCCCAACCACTCGGCCACATTGCTTCTTTAGTAAATCAGTCATACGCATGTGTGATTATTCGATCGTTCGATCGTGCATTTGGTCTATCGGTCGTTATTTTTTCTCGTCGTCCCTAAGTTTCGTCGTCAGTCTTCTGGTCACACAGTCACTTCGTGAGTCTGTCGGTTCGATCATCCATGGACGCAAATGAACAGTTCCGAACAGTTTCATGTGTAGGTATATTTACCTTCATTGCTTTCTCCAGATTGTCATCAACATCAAGAAGGTTTCCAACCAATTGCTGTGTCACGGGAAAGTTGTAAGGTAGTTCCGTACATCGCTTGATCGTTTCAGGGTTACAGCCATTCAGGAACTGTGCCCCGTAGAAGCAGTCATCCTGCCAGTGGTCGGCAGCCATTGGAACATCACCAACGAAAGAAACAAACGCCTGCAACAAAATGGACTGCTGTAGATTTCCTTGTTAAGGTAGCACAACTCACTTATTTTCCCATCAAATGCACAACCTTCATGCATAAACGTTTTCACCTAAAATGTTTGTTGAAGACGCTGTGCAAAGAAAGTCCTGCAGCTTGTTGAGAGATTTCTTTTGTATTATCAAGCCTTTCTATGAAAACATATGAAACGCACATGGAACATGCTTTGACAACCCAAACACACACTTGACAAAATTTCAAAAGTTCCCTCATAGGACCTAACGGATAAAGTAAGATTAAACAAATGCATACCTTACGGTAATCATCGAAGTCTTCCCAAGAATCGAAGATATTCAATAACTTTATTAAACCAAGATTTACTAGTGCTTTATTTCTGGCGGTATGAAGGTCATCCACAGCTTCCTCTGTAAATTGGACATCTTTGGGGAGCTTTTTCCAGTGCTCAGACTTGACGTATCCTGGTAAACCGTGGTTCAAAGGATCTTCTCCCCATTGAAACAGTTCTTGCCTCTGTTGAATTTCGAGTCGCCTTTGGCTTCGTATCACTTCGTGCTGCTCATCTGTGACTAGAAGGGCTGGAGGAAAGTCAGAAGGCATTCTTTTAATCTGTCCTCGACCTTGCTTCACTTTCAACTCTCTATCATCGATAGAGGCATGAAACATTGACTAAGGAACCTGTCATTATTCATCGCCTGGGGGGAAGGGGGGGTTGTGTTACGATCAAAATTTACTTCACGCCCCCTCCCACCATAGGATTCTGTAACACTGTTATGATCCCCCTCTATAGGAGTTAATCGGGAATCAATTTTCCATTGCCCCCCTATTGGCGCTGTTGGCAAAGACTAATGCTCCCTCCATCCCCCCTGAAAACCATGTGGTCCTCCAAAAATCCCCCGACCCCCTCCAGGCGATAAATAAAAATGCTCCCTAAAGAGGGTGCATTTTATTTATCAGTACTGTGGAGATTTATGTCATCATTAACTTCGTACCTTTTCCTGTAAAGAAGATGGATTCACTCTGCACCCATCGAAAGCAAGGAAATTCATAAAGCTTTTGAGGATTTTGGCTGCAGGTGATCATGATTTTCTCCACGAACCAGTCACTATACAAACCACCCTGATCATTGTGTAACTTAATCATCAACAAATCTCCGACATCTTCAGCTGCCAAGATATACGTATCGTCTTGTCCAGCCTTAAAGTCGTCATGGAGCCATTTGTCCATCAAAAGAGGTCTTGTTCTACCTCTACTGCCTAAATACGATTTCAAAAGAGTCACTCTGAGTCAAATACAATGGAGTCCATCATTTCTCTCCATAACTGAAAAGATAACTGATTTGTCTGAGTGCAGATCTAAATGGGAATAAGTACCTTCTGATGGCTTTGGTGATCTATCCAAGTGTACCTTTTAACAGCACTGACAAGTCATAAAAAGTATGGGTCTAGGATCTTCTTAAACAAGACCGTCATCATTGCATGCCTATGACGTGACGAGTTCAGTCAGCGGCTGTGAAGTAGGGAACAAACCCACGAAAGAGTAGACTAAATAAAGAATCTCGATTGATTTTAATGCCACTCAACCCGAGCTTTCTCTTCTCTGGGCCGGGTTTTTCAAAGCTGGATTAAGATACTCCAGGGTTAGTGCGAAATCTGATTTCAGAACTGATAGCTTTAAAACAAGATTCAGTCGGATTCTTTTTGTCTAGAATACGACTATTTGATGCTCTAAAAAGAACACAAGAAATTATCCTAAGAATGCTTTTGAATAAAGGAATGAAAAACTCAGATTACGGTTTAATCTTGGGTTAGCGCTAATCAGCCTTCGAACAACTGGGCCCTGGATTCTAAAATGGAAGATGGTAAACACTCTCGAATTTTTCGGTATTAAGAATTATCGTCGTAGCGTCTCATCGAGGGTGCATGTCGTCCCATATATTCAGTTTGCATACAATTATCCGCTGATCAACGATCTATCTGCTGGACTAGATATGCTCGTATCTTGGAAATAAAGAAGTCATACCTGTGATTGTAAGGGTTACATCGGCGTTGGTACCAGCATGTTTTCGGTCTCCCGTGAACACAGAAATGCAGTAGATGGACATATCTCCCTCTGATTTAGAAGTCTTCCTTAAAGAAAAGCTCTGCTTTTTAGGTCGTGATTGAAGTTTCGACTTTAAATACGCCATGGAATTATAGTCGTAGATGGTCTTGGCAGAAGGGAGTGACAAAGACCCACACGGTATATTTTCTAATGAACAACGGGTTCCCTTTGTTACATCCTCTGGTAAAAGTGACGTCAACCTGACTTCGGCGAGGTCTAGCCAAGGGTGAGTTGCTTGGTCCCAGACTCGAGCCGCGTGAAGCACAAGATGTGAGTCGTCGGGTTGTTTTTCATGTAGTTGTATTTGAAGTTTGTATTGAACGCCACCTTCTGACATACGCTCTTCAAAATCAGCAGTTAAATAGGACTTAGGTCTCCTATCACCCTCCCATCGAAATGTTTCCCTACAGAAAAACAAGAAAAATTAACTAACAATTCCTATAGCTGGTTTCATGGTAGATTTGGGAGATCAGCCAGACAAGCTAACTAGCACCTCTAGTATCAGTTTCTGCGACCACATTGACCACTACTATCATAATGGTAAAAAAGCAAAGCAAAACAAAACAAACAAACGAGCCGTGGGGAGCAGGGACACAAGAAAAATCATTGCGATGGCAGTAATTTGCCGGTTTAGTAGTCATAAAATTGTTTTTGACGTACACTTTTTTTTTTTAAGAAATTGACATACCTAGCTGCGTTGTTATTGTGCAGGAGTCTGGCTCAGAGGTTGCGGATTTACGCCTTTCCTGGGTCATTGTGCTGAGATCTCGGGAAAGACAACGTAGTCTTACGGTCCTTATGCTTCCCAAAAATTCAAATTGGTTCATACCGGTGCACTTACTGCTAGAGAAAACTAAAGAAATCCTGAGCATACGCTCACCGAAAGTTCGCTTAGCATTTCTTCAACAATGTTCATAATTTTCCTCTCGCAGTACACCTAATCGCTTAAAGTGAAAATTGGATAAACTACTAGTGTACATGTTACTTGACCCTTTTATGATTTTTTCTCAGGGCTGAATTAACTAAAAATAATTCCTCTTTGGGAATTCCCGAGAATGAACAACAGGTCCTACCAAGGTTTTCTTTGCTCTTCTTCTGTCATAAGTCCAGTTTCTTCTCTATCATCAGCAGGGACGAGGCGAAATTTGGCGTAGCGAGGCACACCGTCTCTCGCTTTGTATTCAAACGCCATCCACGAGTAATACCTCTGGTCAGTAAATGATTCCGGAGCTCGACGAAATGCAGCAATGGTTAAGTAAAAGCTGTGTTTGTAAAAGCAGATAAGAAACGGAAATTCATGAATTGCGGTACTTTTAGCTTGTGGCTAAGACCATTTCTGTTTAATTACTTGGCGGCAGATGCAAGAAAAAAACAGCCTGTTTCGGGCACTCAGTTTTGATTACAAACAAAAAAGCGGATGGCTCTCCATTTTTGTTTTTGGATCTTCTTGAAAAAGGTAGTAAGGCTACTCAATAACAGGGAATCCAGTCTTGTGGCCGCATATGTTTAATGGAAAGATCTCAGGACAGATCGGAAGTTGGAACTTATCGAAAGACTTCTCCCGAGCGTCTTGTGAATAAATTGAAAATGAAATATCGTATCTCATTTCTTTCACTTAAATGTGAGTTGGCTCGAAATCGAATAAAATTTGATAACAGGTCAATTACACTTCCCTTTCTCCAGGCATTTATCTTTTATGTAAAGTTTTCTTTATTTTGTTACGATATGTGAACAGATAATGTTGCTACTTACTGCCAAGGGTCCTCCAAACAATATGTCTCAAATGCTTCTGTCTCACCATGCAACGCACTAAGCATCTTGTCTAAGCTATAGAGGCTCCAATACGCAGCCTCCTCACCAGTATGTAACAACAGATCAAAAGGTGATTCGAAGTCACTATCGGCAAACTTCAGAGCCGCTAGTCTCACGTCTAATTCGGCATCGTCTACCTTGATAAGATTACAGTGGAGGAGGCGGGCTGGAAACACCCTTTCTGCAGAGAAAAAGTCGTGCGCAGGGAGGAGAGGGTTGTTGAGGACTGTTACAACTCCAGTGGCTCCTACACCTCTTGTTTGTTGTGTCAAGAGTGTCTTGAGAAGGAACCCGGCTTGATACTTTTTAACATAAAGTGCCAACTGCGACGCACTGAATGGCCCAGCTTCTGGTGGAGGCTGTAAAGGGAAGCAAGTACAGAACTAGTCTCTAACCTTTATCTAAAACAAAATTCGTTCACTATGGAGATTAAATGAAAACTTTAACATTATCCTGGAGAATTGCTAGACACTCCTGATTATATCCCTTCACAAAAACCATTCCTAATGTTTAAATCGATGACGATTACAAATAATAGCGGTAACTCTATCGTCGATGTTAACGAGTATGATATGGATCAAGGACAATTACCAAACAAATATAATGATAGCAATGATGAAAATGTTTCATCTCTGAGGTGAGATCGGACATTAAAGGCATAAAGAACTTGATTACCTCGTCTGCCTCTACCATCATTTTTTCAAATAATTCCTGTCCCATCATTTCCTTGATTATCTTGAATCCCATGTTCTTCCCTATTTTCATTGTAAAAAAGCACAAATTAGTCAAAGAAAACATAAATCATGCATAATTTAAACTCAGACAGGAGATGAACAGTTCTTGTTTACTTACAGCCTTCTGGCTCCTGATTTGTTTCAACTGTTGGTCTCTTGATGGTTTGATTCACTCTTTTCTTTTTTCTCTTTGATGGAATAATGCCCATGTTTCTAAACAAGTGTTTTTTTTCTGGTAAGTGATAGAATAAAGAGTCAATGCCGAGCATAAGAGGAGTGTTTATGCATGTGGTGATCCTAGTCGACCAGCCCTATTCTTAGTTACGTTTGACCCCGTAAGCTCTTGCTCCCCATTTGAGACAGCTTTCGAGACTGAGTATTTTGACCACAAACGCAGTACAATGACCCGGCCAGAGACACCAAGCCCGGAAATTTCGATCCGGAGTCCCACCTTTCCCGATGTTTTAGGTTAATTGGTAGGCATTCGGTGAAGGTTTTGGTCGCCTTTGCAGCTTTTGATGCTAATATTTCCGGGACGAAACGTCCATTGTTCTCACGAAGTGTTTTAAAGAGCGCATCCAACATTGGAAATGTAAACGTGATAACATAGCCTGCGCGGCAGAGAGGGTAAGTCTGTCAGCCGCGCGCTCCTTGCCCCTTACCCCACCCCTCCCCCCTCATCCCTTATCATCTCCCCGAGCGTGTCACGCAGACGAAGAATAATGCATTTGTGAAGCTAATCGTCTTCATCATTTATATTTGTCCAAGATTATCATACCGATGGTTTATTTTGGATATTGAAAGTCACTCGGGATTTTAGAGGTAACTTAACGCATTCAAATATCATTAAAGTGTACTTTTATCCCATCTTTTTCTTCTAATCAAGCTGAAGAACGTTTCTTTCATAAGAGACATCGCTTTCCTTACATTCAAAGTAAATTTCAACTCAGTAACTAGCGATGTAGGAGCGCATATTAATGACTCCTTCTACAAGCCACCCGAAGTCATTAATATGCTTGCATATTCACGAGAGGACTTGTATTTTGAACACTATTAAGAACTAAAGGTTAGCTGTAATAATAAAAAAGGGCTAACGCTCAACACGTCAGCTTTGAAACTCTTTGCGGTGCCCAATTTACGTAATCAACTGTGTTGACAATGCTAGTATTACCCTAGTATACTCTCCCACCGACGCAGCACCACAGTTTCTTCAGAAACTTACTCCCTTGATTCATTTGTAATAATCAAGACATGCTCTAAAATCTTCATCGACGGAAACGTTAAAAAAATAATGAAACGTGACAATTGTCACACAACTCTTTCAAAAATCAATCCGTTTCCATGATATTGGACTCCCACTGAAACTAAATTTTCATCGTTTCGTATAAATATAGCACTTAGCCCGCTGGCAGATTGAAATAGAACAAAGCTAGTGAAGTAAAAAAACCATTTAACGAGCAGATACAGCTTTCGGTCAAACAACGCGAAATAACACAATTATGAAGCATCGGAATGGTGTGCTCATTACCAGTTCGCACAATGATTGTGGAGTTTGCATTTCATCATTGGTCCTGGTGAAAGGCCGGTCAGAAACATTGCACAAAACATGTCTGTAGCAAATACACTACTTGATACCATATACTCACCTGCTATGAACCTGTGAACGATATCTTGCAAATTCCCTCAATATTCATTTCCCATATCGATCACTGCGTCACTTGTTGCTCTTGCCCTGACGTCAAGTGACAAAGAACTCAGCTGTTGCCTAGAAACAAAGACCTAAAGCTGTTTATAATGCCCTAAGGGAACTTAACACCTCTGCATGTTACTTTGAGATCACTGAACCTTTGCTAATTGTACCGTGGAAAGCGTTCGTGTCTAAACATTTTAAAAATATAAAGGGACGTATTTTTAAGGGCTTAACTCATCCATAAATCTCTAATCTCTCTTTATTCAATAATAATGATGAAATTTAAAAGCTTTTTCTTTCATGTTACGTTTCATGTTTCCCCGACAGCGCTTGGCCAGTGGTTGCGAAAACAAATGTCTGTCTGAGCTAAGCTAAGTAGCACCAATACAATGTATAATCCGACACCAGTTTCGAGTACTGTATTATAAGGCACTTGGCTTTGTAACCGTAAAAAAATCCACGATCAAAACAGCAGCTTAAAATTGTGACAACTTACTTCGCGCTTCTTGTCATTGACGTGATCTTACGATTATTTTTGTATTTCTAGCTTAGGCCCACGAATTGACGTTTAGACATCGAAGATGTGACGATATCTTCATGTCATAAATTTCAAATGCGCTGTATCACGCAATGAAGGCCGAGAGACGTATGGCTTACGTCACTATTTGTACACTGTAAGCGGAGACGGCAAAGTTTTGTCGATGGCGATCATCAAAGTCCACTATACACAAAACGATCACACGATTTATTTCCACATTTCTTTCAAAATATCAAGGGCTGCAGCCAGGATGGATCATAATAAAATCTAAAACTTTTCCAAGCTGAATATTTATTCAAGAAACACGCTTTGGAGGTCTTTGGTTTTGCAAAACAAAAGCGAAAAACCTCTCTAACAGCCGTTGAGGTTTACAAGATATTAACCCAAAGCCAATGACAGAATCTTCAATTGCTTCCTTTGTAAACGTATATGCCGTTGCACTCACTCATGAGCTATCGAGTTAAACACTCGAGAAGAAATTCCATATCTAGGCACGCTCATATATCATTCTCTATTTCTCGCGGCTGAAAGGGAAAATCGGCAGCTGGAAAATTTGCCACAGGCCGATTTTGGTCGTTTACCCGAAAGATTTCTTCTGCCGGTAAGGACAAAGTCAATAAATGAGAATTTTGTAACTTGAAAATTACGACCATTGATGTTTTGTAATCCCGATTCATTTTTCCATCTTGAGACTTTGCGCCAACGCTTTGTATGATTGTCGATTCTTTTTTTTTCATTTATTAAATCGGCTTTTCTTGTCACCACAGGGCTATTGTGTTTATATGATACGCAAAATAATGCATGGCTGCTTGTAGGTATAGAATTTCTCTTCTCGTGTTAAACCCGACATTTCACTAATTCGCTGCGCTCACTCGTGAGCTATCGACTTAACATCGAAGAGAAATCCCATATCTACGCCTGCTCATGTATTATTTTCTATTTATTGTTACTCTTTTTAGTGTTTTGTTTCTTTTTATTACGCAAAATTATGTTCTTATAAACTAATTCAGTTCTCTAAATTTATCATCAGAGCCAAACTAGTAGACGAACTTCCGTCTTAGAATTGATGACTTAACAATTAACCCTTTAACTCCCAGATCAAATTTGTTATTCTCCTTACTGTCAACCATACAATTCGTATAATGTTAGTTCAGAGAATTTAGTATTTGATCAACTAATTATCCCTAAATTGATCTTCTTCTTCATTCTCACCACTTATCTGGTTGATGTTGTATAGACATTGCAAGGAAAAATTCTGTCTTGGTCACTCATGGGAGTTAACGGGTTAACCCTTACTGCCTCTGGCCACTGGGAGAGAAACTCAGCTACACAGGCAGCATCGAAGTGCACCAGTCATAATTGTTGAGAACCAACTATACACGATTTGCAGTCGAAACGTCGAAGCGCGATCCTCATCATTGGAAAAACGATATAGAAAACTCATTACTTCATCGAGTCTCTTATTCTAAATTTATTTGTCTACATTTCTCGGATTAAATCATCAAGTTGATGCGACTTGGATCATCGTCGGATGTTTATTGGTTAATCATTTATCCTTGAAAGAGAACATCAACCTTATATACTGAGAGAGTACAAGTACATGGTCCAAATGGCACATACGAAAAACTTGACTCGGGATTCATATCATCGGAGAAATAGCATTCTGGAGTCGTTCATTCGATGCGCAGTTCAATGATATCCAGGGTACTTCTGAGAAGTATTTCCTGTCTATTTCACACTGGAACCCATATCTGGGTGTTAATGATATGTGAGTATCTTGGCGGAACCATGCCTAAATAGCTATACTGTTTGGTATTCTTTCCGGAAGTAAATGAATGTAAGGAAACTTCAAAGTATCATTCCTTTTCTTTATGGACCTTGAAATACGATTAAGTTTTCCTTGGAAGAGCAAAATGGCCTCTCTGGCAGCCATGTCAGTAAAGGAGCCATCAGAGTAATCACCAAGGAAACGCTTCATAGGAAAAAGAGAGAGATAAATGCACTTGTTAATACGATAACCTATACGCAAAAATATAACTCAGTAAGATAAATACGTGAAGTGTGTATCTATTATCTGAACTCTGGCTTGAGGGGAAAACTGAAAACTATAGGGATGGCTATTTCGACAAAATCTAACTTAGGCCGCAGTTTTAAAAAATCGATGGACCTCGAGATTTACTTTTGAGTGGGCTGTCTGAAGTGAATAAATATTTCCAGTCCATCTATAAAACTGTTCCCATCATAAGTTCAGATTAAAAAATATGGCCTAAAACACAGGTTTACTAAACAACAACTCAAGTCAATTTAAATGACCGCATATAATTCAGCTTTAACTGTAACAGTGATTGGCATGACAACTTGAAAAAAGAAATTTATATTTTTTATTGTGTGATAACTACACAACAGGAAAAGTAATAGAAAAGTATAGTTTTGGGACAAAAGTTAAGATATTTCTTACCTCATCAGGAAATATGCGTGTTAGATCGTAGACGGTCGCTATAGCAACTCCTACATGGTGCTGGTTGGGCAGGCTTTTCATAACGTCTTCCATGGTCAGTTTGCCCTTCTCTGTTGGAGGAGGCTGTCGCATGAGAGTAGGTGCATTGGGAGAGAAGCCATACACGTCCATCATAGAAAAGTTGACGGCTGCGTGTTGACAAGAGTAGGTAAATATGACAATAGTAAGTAGGTTGGCCAGCTGCTCAGAGCTTGCAACGCACGATGGGAAGCCATGGTCCGCCTCACCCTCCCGGACAGTGTAGCCATTGTTGTGAATGTCTTCGATCCACGCTTGGAGTTCTGTGTCCTGTTGGGAAAAAAGGCAGCATGGAGTGAGAGTGTATTTTAGAAAAGGTTTCCAGCTCTTTCTTACTTTCTGAGATAAAACACTTCTCACCCTTTTGATATCCTCATCTGATTTGTAATAAATCGATAGCATCCTTTTGATGAAGTCATTTATGGCCTGCCATAGTCGCAAAGCATCGTCGCGATAGTGGAATCCCGGAAGTTTGTCTGGATCGTCCACTCCTCTCTCCTTTAGGACATTTGGTAAGTCATACGATGACCAATTTATGTCCTTGTAGTGCTTTTTCATGAGATCAATGTGACCTAAAATGGGAAAAATGAGCAGATTATTATAAAACACGATAAACAAATACTGGCAATATTCACGTTGTAACCCAGGAATGTTGGAGCAATAATGGATTTGAAATGCATGCTTACCATTTCATATGTTGGAGAATATTGTAAAAAAAAGACCATGAATAGAAATGTAATCTCAACTGACAACCAGAAAAGCTGATTTGATATATAAGGTTAAAAAATTGCTCATACAATGAATGTTCAGCCTTTCGTATAGGTGATGTGGTAGCACTTGAAATTATGATTTTAATTTCATTCATATGATATGCGTGAAATTTGAAAGATGATATGAAAGGTGTAAAATAGGGGGGAACAAATTATGCAGGAGACCCAGACAGAAAAGGGACACCAAAATGATGGCCGGGTGACATTCACAGAAGCATTTTACCTCCGCCTCCCACACTAAGTGTGTGATCAGCCACGCCCCCCGCAGGAAGCAGTAATTCCCTTGCAACGGTGTTGATGGCCAAAACTCCCTTTATGTGAGGTATCAGTAGTTTCCATAAAGGGTGGACGGAGGGAAGCTGTCTCCAGGTTGCAACAGCGATCGGTTCCATGAACAGATGAGTTCGAAGAAGGTGAGTGATCATCTGCAAAAGAAAAATGTTTACAAATTTTAGGAAGGTTACTAAGTTTTTTGTTGCAAAATTTTGTGTAGTCGCCTAAAACGTATGTTTAAACAAGCACTTATAAGTAAGGTAAATCTTGTACAGTGAACTGAGTTGAGATTCATATCTTCAAGTACATGTGACTCAATTTTCTTGTTTTACTTTGCAGTGTTACTTTCCATAGTGTTATTATCTTTTTCAGTAAAACTTTTGAATATGCAAATGATACATAAGAAACTACTTTTGAAGTGAGAATAAAGAAAAAAAATACATATTTGCGACTCCGAACTGTTATGGCTCTGGAAAATGACAACCTGCGCGGCGATATGCCTCGTTAAATTGTGAACCTGTGAAGTTTTCTCTGTTATGTCACTATTATTTGCTCAGGCTCTATTGCTGTGTTTATTTTTTCTTCTTTGTTCTTCGTCACTCGCGAACGTGACAGGATCATACACGTAGGGTGGGTAGAAATGTTTTGTAATCTTTCACCTGGTTGCAAATGTCGTTTTAGATCCGGAAATACTCACCTGATGCCACTGAACGTCTGCAGTGCGCAACCACATCTTAGCGAAGGTCCAGTCCAACTCAGAATCATTTGGGGTCCATATTGGGTTGGTCTCATTCGTTTCTTGGTGGAACTGAATTGCTATGGGTGCTATGTCTCCAGTGCCCTTGACATAGAACAACCCAAACGGCGCAGATATGTAGCGCTTCTCTAAGTTCTCGTCATTCCAGCCGTAAAGCTTGATGTCCTCAAGGATCTTGAAATCAACCATGTAAAGACGACC